CACATCCGTTGTCTAAATGTTAACAAACGTGGTAAGTTCACTATTGACAAACAAGCCGTTGTCAATAGTGAGCTTACCACGTTTGTTAACATTTAGACAACGGATGTGTATAACATTTAGACTTCGACAACGAATTGTTGCAATGTTGACAACATTACATAGTGTTGTCGTACGTATGTATATACTTTAACAACGGATGTTATTGAAAAATTATAAACTCATTGGTGTCAATTTGATACCAGGCGTGTATATTTCCTTTTCTCTCTGTGTACTTTTAAGTGAAAAGTACTTTTTAGTACATGCATCGTTGCCTTAAAGGGGATAATGTAGCGTACTTTTTGGCGTTTTGCTTTTGGGAGTGATTTTTTGTCATTTCTATTTTGCGATTTTTTCAATTCTTCCTTGTTTCTAACAGAATTTCAAAAGATTTGTCTTGTTGAATGAAATTTTTATATTATTTATAAATAATTATGATAATTTCCAGTTTTAAATTTTAAACAAATTTAATGAATTCAGTTATGAATTAGCATAAACAATTTTTTTTTATTTATATAGTATGTCTGGTGTTTTTAAAAATATTTGCATATTTGAGGTCAATTTGATGACGAAGAAAGAAAGACTTGCTTGACGTAGTTTGATTTGATTTGAAAAGATAAAGTGTTGACGTTTTAGACAGTCAGACAAAAAGGTGTACGACTAGCTTGACAACAGTATTTAAAGGGAAAAAGAAAGATTTTATAAAAATATTTGCTAGATTGTTGCAAATTTAACAAAATGCAAATTGATTCGATTCCTTTAGATTACTGCAGTTTCTTTTTATATCTTTTAATGTTTTCGTATTTTATTTTATTCGTTTTTTGTTGTTGGTTGTTATTAAATAACAACATTTGTTTTTTTAAATTTTGGCCAAAATGTGCGTTTTCTTATAGCTTCTATTTTTATGCGATTTTTTAATTTATTTATTTACTTTGACATTGTTTAAGAGAATGCCGAATGCTGCTCTAAAGGTTTTTGAGAAAATCTTCTTTTAAAAAACTGAAATCTATATATATAAAAGAGTAGCGTTACTAACTGACTGATTCATCATCGCACAGCCCAAACGGCTGAACCTAGAATCATGAAATTTTGACAGTAGATGTGTTTTTGGTTATGTAGATCCACTAAGGAGGGATTTTTGGAAATTTGTACATTTACGGTTAAAAAGGGGAAAAAACGTGTAAAACAGGTTTTCTTAATTATCTTACACAATATTAGTGATACAAGAAAAAATTTAAATGCATCTGTATCTACTCTTAAAATGAGCAGATGGGTGTCTGGTACTTTTTTGAAATTCGTACTTTTAAGGGGTAAAAATGTGTAACAAATGTGATTTTGGTACCTTTTTTGGCCCCTTATAACTTTTGAATAAAATTTTTATAAATATTTTGGATACATCTCCCAAAATTATGAGACACCTGTTTCGTACTTTTTTAAAATTCAGTCCTTTTTGGGTGTAAAAGGGAGAAAACTGTACTCTTTTTTAGCACATTAAGAAAACTTTTTCGGTTTATTGAGTTATTCCTATTAAATTACGGACTAACTCTGTAATATTTATTGTAAAATTTTTGATATTTCACTGGGGAAAAAAGTACCAAAAAGAGAAAAAACGGGAAATTTAATTTTATTCAAACTCTTTGAGCCAATTTTTATAAAATTTTAAAAAAGTGTGTTTTATCTGTGATATATAGATTTAAATACGGAACATTTTGTAAACTTAATTCTCGAAAAAGTATATTTCTAAGCGAAAAGGGGAAAAATTGTATTCTTTATTAGTACTTTCCACTTAGGTATTCCACTTTTGGTACTTTTTCTTTCTTCAAATGATACTCTTTGTATGTTCTTTAATATGAATTCAAAACACATGATTATTAAACATACACGATCCTCATTGAATAAGACTCTTTAAGAGAGAACTTTTTAGTACTTTTTATCTCATAAATGGTACTTTTTTAATTTTCTAAAATATTCAACCTAGGTCTTAACTGAATAATATTCTGTAAGTGGGAACTATTTGGTACTTTTCTATTCTTCAAATGGTACCTTTTAGATTCTTTATAATGGTTAACCGGAACACACGATCCTTATTAAATGAGAATTTAAAGAGAGAGAGAGAGATTTTTGTACTTTTTCGATGGTACTTTTTGATATTTTTACGATATTGGACATAGATATTGAAAATAAAATTTAAAATGTAGGGACCCTAGTGTATGAGAATCTACTGAAAGGTACTTTTGGTACTTTTTCATTCATTAAAATTATATTATTTGAATTGTATATAATATTGAACACAGAAACATACAATTATTAAATAATAATCTATTAGAGGTATTTTATAGTACTTTTTTTCAAATAGTACTTTCGAAATTTTCTATAATGTGGAAGCTAAATGAATGAAACTAAAAATACAAGCTTCTTACTGAATGCGAATTTAATCACGTAATATTGAACGTATAAACTGAAACATTAAAAAAATGTTTAATCAATTTTAATTTTCTATAAAAGGACACAAAACTTTGTATGTATTTAATTTAAGTTAGGGTAGCGAAGCACCCAGGGTATGCTAGTTTTTTATAAAATTATCAATGTTATTCTAAATTCCAAAACTTTCAAATTTTTCTAATAATTAAACATAATTAAGTAACTAATTTGTATAATTACATAGTTAATTTTTGAAATCTTCAAAACCTTTATACGTTTTCTCTTACAATAAACGTTAATTATAAATCGAATGATCATCTAACTCTACCCATCCATCCATTCATCATTATCATCTATCAATTGTCATGCTTTTTGTTTGCCTCTTAATACATAATCATGTCAGCTGATGAATAGATCGATAAGCTATGTATCTAAATATCTCTTTTTCTCAACATTTATCTCATTATTTATGTTGTTTCTTTTTTTTTATTTTTCAAATATACTCATGTAGACTTTTATAGATGTTTTTGAAAAAAAGGTGTTAAATAATCCCATTTTGACATGATTTTGTTGTTCGTTTAAAAATACAGAATAACAATATAAAGCAAAAATTATACAAATATATCAACTAAACTGATTAAGTAACCTATTTTATTTTGATATCTGAAATTTAAATTTGTTTTAAAAACAAATGAAAGGAAAAATTTACAAAAGAAAGTGTTAGAAAACACACCTAATTACTAAAGGAATTAAAAAAAAAATACACAAACAGCTTTAACAAAGAGTTTGATGACCCTTTCCCTGAAAAAGTTATTCGGAAACTGACGACTTCTTCTATGGAAAAATTCATCAAATACTCATGTCTTAGAGAAAACTTCATTTGAATCTGATTAAATTTTAGCAGAAAGTGGTGATCACCTCAATCTAACTCTGACGATCATTTCTATATGTTGATTTCTGTAGAAAAACTGATTCCTCAGAAGATGATGATCTTCACAATCTGATCTGAATCATTAGAATCAAATGATCTTCTTCATAGAAAATATTATCAGAACCTGATGATCTGACGATCTTATCATAGAAAGTATCATCATAATCTGATGATCTCTTTCATAGAAAACTATCACTAGAATCTGATGATCTTTTTCATAGAAAAAATCATCAAAATCTGATGATCTTTTTTATAGAAAATATCACCAGAATCAGATGATCTAAACTCATCAGAATCTGATGATCTTTATCATAGAAAATATCATCAGAATCTAATGATCTAATTCATAGAAAATATCATCACAATCTGATGATCTTATTCATAGGAAATATCATCAGAAGCAAATAATCTTTTTCATAGAAAATATTATCATAATCTGATGATCATTTTCACAGAAAATATTATCAGAATCTGATGATCTTTCCCATAGAAACTGTCATCAGAATCTGATGATCCTTTTCATCAGATTCTGATGATCTTTTTCGTAGAAAATGTCATCAGATTCCGGTGATCTTTCTCATAGGAAATATAATCAGATTCTGATGATTTTTTTTATAGAAAATGTCAGCAGAATCTAGAAAATTAACATTTGAATCTGATGATCTGTTTTATAGAAACTATCATCAGAATCTGAAGATATATTTCATAGAAAATATCATTAAAATCTGATGATATTTTTCATAGAAAATGATCATCAGAATCTTTTTCGTAGAAAACTATCATCAGAATCTGATGATCTTTTTCATAGAATCTGATGATCTCTTTCATAGAAAACAAGCATCAGCATCTGGTGATCTTTTTCATATAAAATGTCATCAGAATCTGATGATCTTTTTTATAGAAAATGTAATCAGTTTCTGATGATATTTTTCATAGAATATATCTCCAGATTCTGATGAACTTTTCTATAGAAAATATCATCAGATTCTGATGATGGTTTTCTATGAAAAAGATCATCAGAATCTGATGATATTATCATAGAAAATATCATTATAATCTGATGACCTTTTTTGTAGAAAATATCAGAATCTGATGATCTTTTTCATAGAAAATATTATAAGATTCTAATGATCTTTTTCAAAGAAATCTATCATCAGAATCTGATGATATTTTACATATAAAATATCATCAGAATCTGATGATCTTTTTCATCGAAAATTCTTATGATCTTTTTTATCAGATTCTAATGATCATTTTTATAGAAAATGTTATCAGGATCTGATGATCTTTGTCATCATATTCTGAAGATCTTTTTCATAGAAAATATCTGATGAATCTGATCATCTTTCATAGAAAAATCTTCATAATTTGATGATGATCTTTAGAATCTGAATGAAGTTATGTCTGAATGTAATGAAAACTTATCACAATCTGAAGATCATTCTTTTAGGAAACACATCAGAGTCTTAGGGAAACTCTTGATCTTTCTGATCTTTGCTTAAAAAGTTTTTTTTTTGTTTTTTAACTGAAAGAAAACTTAAATTAACTCTTAAACTATTAAAAATTTTGGTAAATTAATTTAATTTTTTTTATTTTTATCTTTTATTTTCAGTCAATAGAAAATCTCATTTATCCAGCAAATCCTCAACAAAAAAATTATAAATTAAATTAAAGTGAATAAATTTTTGCAAAAAAAAGTGAAAAATAAATCAATTAAAAAATTAAATAAAAGTGAAGTGATAAGTGTTAAAAATCCACTTTAAAAGTTTTTCTCATTCAATTAAAAATCATTAAATAAAAAAAATCTTTAAAAATTTCAATTCATAAAAAATTAAAAAAGAATCAATTAAATTAAACATAAAATGGCAACATTGATTTTAAATCCGCCAAATTACACATTTAACAACGAATTCAATTATAATTCAAACAACAGCGACAGCAATAGCAGTCACTGCAGCAGCAACAGCAGCACCAGCGCTAAAACTGCCTGTGACGAACCACCCAAAATTAGTAAATTCTTTAGCAACAGCTCCAACTATCAGAGTAAAATTCAACAATTGATCAGTTTCAGTTTTACTTCATCGAATTTTATTTTCATAACGTTCATCTTGAGTATTAGTAAACTCTGTACTACGGCTGCTACTGATCCCAGTCAAACTGGCGCACCTCAACCTAATACCGCTGTACCCAGTTTTCTTATGCCCAATATAAGTGGTTCGGCTTTATTGGAGAAATTAAATTCGATTCGTGCCAATACACTGGGTCCACCACCTCCACCACCGTCATCAGCGGTTAAAGGTAAAAATACACCAGCCGCAGCAAATAGTTTAACTCAGGGTAGTAGTGGTGGCGGAAGTAGTGCCATTTCAGCTGCATCTGCATCTTCTATATCATCTCCGACTTCCTCGCCTTTATCGCCTTCGTCGGCTTCATCTTCCTCATCATTAAATGCTTTTCCATCTTTGTTCAATAGTAGAGATTTAATAAATAAGGATATGAAATTTTTAAATGTCTCAGGCAAAATCGGCACATCTTTGGGCATAGGTAAGTTATTCTCTTTACTTATTTATTTTGATCTAAAACACTTTTACCTTTTAACTTAAATGTCTCTTAAAATATTATTATTATTATTACATATTGCCGTTTTCCTCATTTTGCTACAGATGATCATTGTCATCATGATGAAGTTTTGCAATGAGAAACGTGTCTGGTTTATCAAGTTTATTTTAAAATTTTTTTCTCCTTAAAGTTTCAGTTTTATTTTTAGCCCAAACGTACAAGTTTTGTTTGTAACTATTTTAAGATTTTCTCGCTTTTTTTTAGAGTTAAACAGAAAATTTATAAATAACTCTGTGGGCCTTAGGTAATGAAAAATGTGCTTTTCTTTTTGCAGTTTTGTTTGTTTCTTTCTGTACTTTTTGCTGCTGATGTACTTATGGTTTATTTCTAAGTCCTAACATTAAGCAGGGAGAGACAAACTCTTATTCCAATGGGCAACATTTTTTTTGTAGAAAATTTGGAAATTATAGAGCAAATTTTGATAGAAAAAGTTGCTATACACTAGCAAGTTTTTATAGAAAATGTTACTCTACACCAGAGCACGTTTTTATAGAAAAAGTTGCTCTAACGAAGAGCAAGTTTTTCTAGAAAAAGTTGTTCTACACTAGAGCAAGTTTTTATAGAAAAACGTTGCTCTAGACTAGAGCAAGTTTTTCTAGAGAAAGTTGCTCTAAAGAAGAGCAAGTTTTTCTAGAAAAAGTTGCTCTACACTAGAGCAAGTTTTAATGGAAAAAGTTGCTATATACAACAGCAAGCTTTTATAGAAAAAGTTATTCTACTTTAGAGCAAGTTTCAATAGAAAAAAGTTGCTCTACACTAGAGCAAGTTTTTATAGAAAAAGTTGCTCTACACTAGAGCAAGTTTTTATAGAAAAAGTTGTTCTACACTAGAGCAAGTTTTTATAGAAAAAGTTGCTCTAGACTAGAGCAAGTTTTTATAGATAAAGTTGCTTTAAACTAGAGCAAGTTTTTATAGAAAAAGTTGTTCTACACTAGAGTAAGTTTTTATAGAAAAAGTTGCTCTACACTAGAGCAAGTTTTTATAGAAAAAGTTGCTCTACATTAGAGCAACTTTTTATAGAGAAAGTTGCTCTACATTAGAGCAAGTTTTTATAGAGAAAGTTGCTCTACACTAGAGCAAGTTTTTACAGAAAAAGTTGCGCTAAACAAGAAAAAGTTGCCCTAAAGAAGAGCAAATTTTTATAGCAAAAGTTGCTCTTAACAGGAGCAAGTTTTATAGAAAAAGTTGCTCTAAACAAGAGCAAGATTTTATAGAAAAGGTTGCTTTTAACAAGACCATGTTTCTACACAAAAAGTTGCTCTAAACAAAAGCAAGTTTTTATAGAAAAAGCTGTTCTAGACAAGAGCAAGTTGCTCTGAACAGAGGAAGTTTTTATAGAAAAAGTTGTTCTGGAATAGAGAAAGTTTTTATAGAAAAGAGTTGCTCTAGACTAGAACAAGTTTTTATAGAAAATAGTTGCTCTAGATTACAGCAAGTTTTTTTTAAAAAAGAAAAAAGTTGCTCTGGGCTAAAGCAAATTTTTAGAAAAAAGTTGCTGCGTACTCGAGTAAGTTTTTAGAGAAAAGTTGCTCGGGATTAGAGCAAGTTTTTTATAGAAAAAGGTTGCTCTGGACTAGAACAACTTTTTGTATAAGTTGAACAGCACTAGAACAAGTTTTTATAGAAAAATGTTCCTCTATAACATGTCTATTATACATATAGCAAATTTGTTCTGAATCTAGGAATTTTTCCTATGCTTTCTTCAATTGTCTTGACATTCGAATGCAATTTTTTCTTTTTTTTAATTAATTCTGATTTATTTTCTTGCTTCAGTAATTTTGTTGGGTTTTTATTTAAATTACTAAAAGATTTTTGCACTTTGTCCTTGATTTTTTTTTTTGGTTCTTTTCCAATTTTTTTATAACAATTTAATTTTATATTATAAATTGACGTGGATTTTATTTTTAAAAATAATATACTTTTAATTGAGGGAAATTTTTTTTTGCACAAAGTCTAAAAATTTGTGGTTAAAATTAACATATTTTTCTGGACATAAACACATATTAAATACGTTTAGGGAATTTATATTAAAAATATACAAAAAAGTTTGGGAAAATGTTTTTGGGGATAAAATTTTGCAATTTTCAAAAATTTTTATAAAATTATAAAAATTGAAAATTTTTTCAGAAACTAATAGACTTTTGCTAGAGCTATTAAAAAGTCCAAAAATTTATTAAAAAAATGGGGCTCCTTTAAAGAAAAGTTTGCCAATCCCTGCTTAAGACTCTAGAGGTGATTTTTTCTTTTACCTACTACCAGTTCTTGTTTTCGCTGTTACCAAGCATTGAGTCAGATTTTTATTTAAACTTTTTTTGTTAACAATTTCTTTTTGAGGAGGCTTGTTTTACTTTATAACGTCATCATTGCGTTAAACCAATATAATTATGTTATTACTAATGACGTTTTAAGATAATAATGATGTTGTTTATTGTTGTTGTTGTAGTTATTGCTATTACGATTATCATTAGTATTTCTGTACACGTTTTAACATTTGGGTAATTGGTTACTGCAGACGATTGTCTGCATTCTTGGCTAAAACAACGTCGTCGACAAACTCTTTATATTTTTAAGCATTAGTGCTTAGTTAAAACATTTAAGGAAAAAAAACGAAGTAAAATGTAAAAAAAATAAATATGTGGTTTTTGTATTATGATTTAATGCTTCTTTTTTATAAGGTTTGGTGGTATGCACAGTGGTTGGTTTGAAATATAAAAAAGTAAATTTTTTAAAACTTTATAACTTTGAAAGTTTTTATTAAAATCTAATAAAATTTGGCTTAAGTTTAGCTTTCAAAATAGGGTTTAATAATGTAATAAAAGTAAACACCGGAAGAGCTAGCGGCAGCCAAAGTTAAGCATTTTAAAAACTTTCCTTTAAGGTACTGAACTTTGGTGAACTATAACTTACTAAGGGCTTCTAAATTTTTGCTTCTTAATTAATATTTTGTTAGCTTAAGTTGTGTTTTACAGATCCCATAAGTTTGGCTTTAAACCATTTAATACTTTCAATTTCTTTAAAAAAACTTCAAGTTTAGTTAACTCTTACTCTGCTTGTGTTTAAACCAGTCAATTTCTTTTACTACATATTGTTACTCTAATATCTCTTTAATTGTTACCACCAAATTTCGTTTCAATCCACTCAATAGTTTTCGAGTAATTAACATTTTAGCCAAACGCCCCACTGTATGTTGTCGCTTGAGTGTCTGTATTTGCTTTAAAGTTCCTTTCCCTTTTTCTTCCTCTTCACTATTTTTTTCTACCTTTTTTTCTCATTTTCTTATAATACGAAATTTATTTCTTATTACTGGTTTTGCTTTAATATTCTGTTTTATTTGTTTCTTAGCCATTTTTTTGCAATTTAGGTTTGTTTTCCTTTCCAGCTAAAGAGCACAAAAAAGGGGATTTAAGAGTTTTTTTTTTTAATTGAGCAAGTGTTTGTTTGTCTGTTTGTTTAGCACTTGGTGTTGTAATCAGTTTTAAATGTTTTCTGTTTTATTTTTCTTCTCTACTTTATTGTTATTTATCTTTTTCCGCCGGCCGGCTTAAACAACTTAAAGTAAAATAATGACTTAAAAGAGTACAAAAGTGTCACTTTTGTTATTCTTCTTTCAAAGGCAAACAAACCAGCAAAACTAGCGATCAATAAATTATCAGCAACAAACAACAAGTTGTTGCTTTTTCCGACACTTTCCTATAATTGCTCTTTTTTGGCTTTAAAAAGAGATACAAAAGTAAAATCTTTAAGACAGAAAAAAAGTTGCTCTAGACTAATGCAACTTTTTCTCACAAAACCTGCTCTAGACGACAGCAAGTTTTTCCACGAAAACTTGCTCTAGACCACAGCAACTGTTTCTATAGAAACTTGCTCTAGACCAGAGCAACTTTTTCTATAAAAACTTGCTCTAGACTAGAGCAACTATTTCCTATAAAAACTAACTCTTGACTAGAGCAACTTTTTTTTATAAAAACTGGATATAGACTAGAGCAACTTTCTTCTACAAAAACTTGCTCTAGACTAAAGCAACTTTTTTCTATATAAAATTGCTTTAGACTAGAGCAACTTTTTTCTATAAAAACTTGCTCTAGAACAGAGCTACTTTTCCTATATAAATTTGCTTTAGAACAGAGCTACTTTTTCTATAAAAACTTGCTCTAGACTATAGCAACTTTTTCTCACAAAACCTGTTCTAGATGACAGCAACTAGACCAGATCAACTTTCTTCTATAAAAACTCATTCTAAATCAGAGCAACTTATTCTATAAAAACTTACTCTTGACTAGATCAACACTTTCCTATAAAAACTTGCTCTCGATTAGAGCAACTTTTTTGTATAAAAACTTGCTCTTGACTAGAGCAACTTGCTCTTGACTAAAGCAACTTTTTTCAATAAAAACTTGCTCTAGAACAGAGCAACTTTATCTATAAAAACTTGCTCTAGACCAGAGCAACTTTTTCTATAAAAACTTGCTCTAGACTAGACTTTTTTTATAAAAACTTGCTCTAGACCAGAGCAACTTTTTCTGTAAAAACTTGCTCTAGACTAGAGGAACTTTTTTCTATAAAAACTTGCTCTAGACAAGAGTAACTTTTTCTATGAAAACTTACTGGAGCAACTTTTTTCTATAAAATCTTGCTCTAGACCAGAGCAACTTTTTTCGATAAAAACTTGCTCTAGACCAGAGCAACTTTTTTCCATAAAAACTTGCTCTAGACCAGAGCAAATTTTTTCAATAAAAGCTTGTTTTAGACCAAAGCAACTTGTGTTCGATAAAAACTTGTTCTAGACCACACCAACTTTTTTCTATAAAAACTTCCTCTACCAGAGCAACTTTTTTTATAAAAGCTTGCTCTAGACCAGAGCTACTTTTTTCTATAAAAAACTTGCTCTAGACTAGAGGAACTTTTTTCTATAAAAGCAACATTGTTCTAGACTAGAGCAACTTTTTCTATAAAAACTTACTCTAGAGCCATTTTGACTCTTCCACTGAAATTATTCTATTACCACTTAATA